AGGCGGCAGCCATCGCAGTGGCGCAGGTACGAGGAGGGCACCATTGAAATGCAAATGATGACTCCTGTCCGACTCTGAGGCCAACTCTCAGGCTGTCTCCATGCCACCTGTTCCTGCAGGTCAACCAAGGTGCTGACGTTCTGGACATCAACATGGACGATGGCCTGATCGAGGGCGTGGGTGCCATGACCCGCTTCGTCAACCTCCTGGTCTCTGACCCGGAAGTCAGCCGCGTGCCCTTCATGATCGACTCATCCAAGTTCCACATCGTGGAGGCGGGCCTCAAGTGCTGCCAGGTGGGCCGGGCAACTGTTATTGAGAATCAGCATTCGACTGGATGCTTGATGCCATGTAACAACTGTTGCGCTCATCCCTCGCCCTCCGTACTAATCTCCACAACCATGCGTTCACCTTGTAGGGCAAGGTCATAGTGAACTCCATTTCGATGAAAGAAGGAGAGGCCAAGTTCCGGGAGCATGCCCGACTTGTGCGTCACCACGGGGCGGCCGTCGTGGTCATGGCCTTTGACGAGGAGGGCCAGGCCGCTGGCTACCAGGACAAGGTGGGTTGCTTGAGTTTGGGGTGTGTCAGGCGCTGCCGGCTACTCAGCAGCACGCAGCGCTGCATCATGTCTTGCTCGACAGGATCCCTGCTCAACCCTGAAGACCACACCCGCTGCCTGCATGCAACCCTCCTTTCTCAAATCCTTCCCCCTGCACAGATTCGCATCTGCATGCGTGCCTACAAGATCCTGGTGGAGGAGGTGGGCTTTGACCCGCAGGACATCGTCTTCGACCCCAACATCCTCACCGTGGGGACGGGCATGGCGGAGCACAACAACTACGCCGTGGACTTCATCCGCGCCACGCGCGAAATCAAGCGCCTGTGCCCCGGCGCCAAGGTCAGCGGCGGCGTGTCCAACATCGCCTTCTCCTTCCGCGGCAACGAGCCCGTGCGCCGCGCCTTCCACTCCGCCTTCCTGCACCACGCCTGCGCGGCGGGGATGGACATGGGCATCGTGAATGCCGCCCAGGTGGGGTGGATGTGTGCTGGCTGGCAAGGTTGGGCGCCTGATCAGGGGAGGGTCTGGTGTGCGGGGGGCCAAGCAATCTTCTTCTCGCGCTGGAATCTGCAGAGGCTGCGGGCCCCCTGCTCAACTCCACCTCATGCGGCTCCTTCCGCTCACGTACACACACAAAACCCTCACATCCACGCTGCCAGGTGATTGCCGACAAGTATGAGCTGCTGGACAAGGAGCTGCTGGAGCTGGTGGAGGACGTGCTGCTGAACCGCTGCGAGAATGCCACTGAGCGCCTGCTGGACTATGCGGCGCTGCTTGACCCCAAGAGCCACCCCACCGCGGTCAAGCGCAAGGGTCAGGTTGGGGGCGCGGCCGCTGCCGAGAAGAAGGCGAGTGGATTGGTTTGGGGTGGGGCGTTGGGGCTGGGGTGGTGGAGGGGGGCAATTCGTGGGCTGGGTGGTATATAAGAATGAGCAAGGGGTTAGCGCGGGGGGATCTGGAGCTTCCCCTGCGCTGTACAGAAGCCTCAGGGTGTGGCTGCATTGTGGTGTCTGCCTGCTTGCGCATGCACCCAGTTGCCCTTTCTTCGCCCAGTGTGGACCCTTGTCATCTGCCTCCACCCTCAGATTCCCTGCTCTCTCCCCTTGCCAAGTTCCTTCTACCTTCCTTTTCCTATCTTCCCCCTGCAACACACATGAAGCTGACAGAACACCCGCACCTACCCCCCTCCCCCTCCCAAGCGCAGGACTCCTGGCGCGACCTGCCGGTGACCAAGCGCATCGAGCACGCGCTGGTGAAGGGCATCGACACCCACGTGGTGGCGGACACGGAGGAGTGCCGCACCTGCGGCGCCTACCCCTACCCCATCCAGGTCATAGAGGGCCCGCTGATGGACGGCATGAACGTGGTGGGCGACCTCTTCGGCGCGGGCAAGATGTTCCTGCCCCAGGTCATCAAGTCGGCGCGGGTGATGAAGCGCGCGGTGGCACACCTCATCCCCTACATCGAGGAGGAGAAGGCGCGGAGCGGGAAGACCGGCAGCGACAACGCGGGTGTCGTCATCATGGCCACTGTGAAGGGGGACGTGCATGACATTGGCAAGAACATTGTTGGCGTGGTTCTGGGCTGCAACAACTTCAAGGTTGGAGGTTTTCTCCCCCTACTTTTGGGGGGGTGGGGGGTGGGGGGTAGAGTCTCGACGCCAGCTGGGAGACGTGTACTGGGGGCAGCAAAGGATGCTTGAGGCGAGGGCCGAGCGCCCAGCTTTGGGCTTGAGAGTTGAGGCCATTTGTTAGGGGGCCCGCCGTGGACACGCATGCCTAACTTGGCGCCCTCTCAGCAAGGCTGACGGTATTGTCATGGCTTGGACAACTCGCAACCTTATGTCCTCACAGCACCCCACAACTCCATCACCCCCGCCTGCCAGGTCATCGACCTGGGGGTTATGGTGGCCTGGGAGAAGATCCTGGACGCCGCGGTGGAGCACAACGCCGACGTGATCGGCCTGTCGGGCCTCATCACACCCTCTTTGGACGAGATGGTCACGGGTGGGTAGGAGTGGTTGGTGCAGGGAGTGATGTGCGGTCTGGGGCACTGGGATCAAGGGGTTTTGGGGTAAAACGGAGTGTGTACGGATGCCCTCAACGGCGCAGGACGCTACAGGCTCACCGTGTGGGACCCTGCGCCTTGGCAGCTGGGGTGAAGCTGGGCTGCCTGTCGCCCAGCGCCTCCTGATGGCTTGGTCAAGCCAAGAATCTACTCCAGCACTGTTTCCCCGCACGCATCCAGATGCAAGGGACCCCAGAATCACTCCCCCAGATCGTACGCTCCCTCCACACACGCCTCATCAATCCTCCCCCGCAGTGGCCAAGCGCATGGAGGAGCGCGGGCTGAAGCTGCCCCTGCTCATCGGCGGCGCCACCACCTCCAAGATGCACACGGCGGTGAAGATCGAGCCCCAGTACTCGGGCCCCGTGGTCTACGTGCTAGACGCCTCGCGCTCCGTGCCCGTGGTCCAGTCGCTGCTTGACGTGCGGGCCAAGGCCGAGTTTGCCGTCGACGTCAGGTGGAAGAAAGAAAGGGAAATGGGGCGGGGGAGGGGGAAAGGGGGAGAGTGCGGGTGATGCACCACGTGCTCGTGCTTTTGGCCTCTGCAATGCCGTGCCTCCTTGTGTACACCTCACGTCGTCAAACCTCACACACGAAGACACCGACCACAAACCAAAACCCGACCGCAAACCAAACCCCGACCACAAACCAAACCCTACTCGGCGTCATCCCGGCTCAGGGAGCAATATGCGGAGCTGCGCGACGAGTTCTACGCCGGGCTGGAGGACAGGCGGTACTTGACCCTGGCAGAGGCCCGCGCCGCCGCGCCCAAGGTGGACTGGGCCTCCGCGGAGAACGCGCCGCATACGCCCTCTTTCACCGGGGTCAAGGCCTACGAGGACTTCCCGCTGGAGGAGGTGGTGCCCTACATCGACTGGAACCCCTTCTTCCAGGTCTGGCAGCTGCGCGGCAGGTACCCCAACCGCGGCTACCCCAAGATCTTCAAGGATGAGGCGGTGGGGCCCGAGGCACGCAAGCTCTTCGAGGAGGCCCAGGCCATGCTCAAGGTGCCCGAGGGCTGGGTTGAGGGGTGCGCCGTGCAAGGGCCTTTCCCCGGCAGGAGTGGGGAGTTGCAGGGCTGGAAGGCGACTGGTGCTCTGCGCGGGTGTCGACCAGTCTGCCATCTGGCGTGAGTCGCAGGGGTGTCTGCCAATGACCCTCTGCACACCACCCCAACCCCTGGCCCCCTCCAAACGCCCATCAGGACATCATCGACAACAAGAAGCTGCGCCTCGTTGGCGTGGTGGGCATCTTCCACGCCAACTCGGCGGGCGATGACATCGAGGTGTATGCCGGCGCCGACCGCGCGGAGAGGCTTGCCACGTTCTACGGGCTGCGCCAGCAGGTGCGACCAGGGGCAGGGAACGCAGGGAGAGCAGGAATACGGGCGTCGCGGTGCACACTACCCTGCATGTGTGTGCGTTGCAAAATTTGGTCTTGGCGGGACAGTGTTGGGCATCTCTTCCCTGATGATCTGCGACTGGAGAGCGCTGACTGCAGCGCTGGGCTGGTTCGGCCAACCCAAGGCCTCCTCCTTGCCTCCCTGTACCCCCGCAGGCCGAGAAGGAGAATGCCGACCCGTACTACTGCCTGTCCGACTTCATCGCGCCCAAGAGCAGTGGGGTGAACGACTACCTGGGCCTGTTTGCCAACTCAGGTCTGGGGCCCGGCCATCCTGTCTGGGGATCTGTGCAGAGATCAGCGCGTCCTTCGGGGAGATGGGGCACGGGCGGGAATACCGATTGTTGTGCCCGGAACACCCTGCTCTGCATTTTCTACCTGTGAAACAGCATTCCATGTCCCCGCACACCACCGCAGCCATGGGCGTGGAGCCGCTGATCGAGGCGTTCAAGGAGGCCGGCGACGACTACTCCTACATCATGATGGAGGCCCTGGCCGACCGCCTGGCCGAGGCGTTTGCCGAGAAACTGCACGCCATCGTGCGTCAGGAACTCTGGGGCTACGCCCCGGACGAGGACCTCAACGTGGACGACCTACTCAAGGTCAAGTACCAGGTACGTGAGACAGGGCCACCAAAAGGAGGCTGCGCAGTCGGGGAGTATTTGGCGCACGGGACGGCACGCTGCTCACACTGCACAGCACGACTCGTGGCGTTATGCAAATGGGAGGGACTCTGCGATTTCTCGCCTCTGTGCTACGTCATGTCAGGGTATCGTCACAGCGTCTCTGTTTGGACGAGCCTCTGAACTCAGCCATGCCATCGCGAAGGACCCCCTACTGCCCGCTCACCTCAACCGCCGCCCACACACAGGGGATCCGACCGGCGCCGGGCTACCCCTCCCAGCCCGACCACACAGAGAAGCAGACCATGTGGGACCTGATGGACATCGAGGCGAGGATAGGGATGGGGCTCACCGAGTCCTTCTCCATGACCCCCGCCGCCTCGGTGTCGGGGCTGTACTTTGCCGGCGCGGCGTCTCAGTACTTTGCGGTGGGCAAGATCTCCACCGACCAGGTCACCGACTACGCCACGCGCAAGGGCATGCCGCAGCAGGAGGCGGAGCGCTGGCTGCGCTCCATGCTCACCTACGAGCCCTGACCGGCGCTGGGTGTTGGTGGTGGTTGGTTGAATTCCCGCTTTCCTTATCACGCCGATCCGAAATGTCGAACTGGCAGACGGCAGGTAATTCGGCGGGTAAATATCGTTACAGGGGCCGGGGCAGGTCGGTTGAAACATCCGATATCGGATCCAATACGGTAATTTTGCTATTGACACCGAGGAAGGGCATCGTGGTGCCGTGCAACCCTGTAACGTCCCACACCTACCGGTCGCTGTCGGGGTTTCATGGCGATCCAGGATCACTTCGACGTCATGGAGGACGACGACGCTGCTTCGGTCAGTGGCATCAGCTCAATTCTGAGTGCCCACACGCCAGAGCGAGGGGGTGTGGACCCCACTGCATCTGGCCGAGCGATCGAGGCCGCCCTGGAGGAGGCCGAGCAGTTGATGCGCCTTGGCTCTGCCACCCACACCGGCATCAGATCCGCCGGGAAGAAGTCTCTGTCCAGCATCATTGATGCATCCGAGCAGCTGCGGCAGCAGGTGTGGCACGGGGGGGGATGTGCATCTTCAATGGGTGGGGGTTGGGTGGGGAGAGTGAGCATCGGCAGGCACCTGCCCACATTCCAGTACTCAAGTCTCCGCCGTCCTCCTCCTCCCAGGTGCGGGATCTGAGGATCGAGAATCACGAGGCCAAGGTGGAGCTGGTGACCCTCCGCGCCCAACTGGCTCAGAAGGAGGTGAGAGGAGCGGGGTGGTTGCTGGGGGGGGTGTCCTATCCCTTGCCAGGGAAGAGGTATGTTGTGCCTGGTCCATGTTGTTCTGCCCACCATGCCCCTGCTCCCCCCCTGTCACAGAGCACGGCACAGCGTATCGAGCACGAGGCCTCTCAGCAGATTGCGGAGCGCGACCGCGTCCTGGCGGAGCTCAGCGCAGCCAATGCTGCCAACCAGGAGAAGCTGGCGGCCCTCTCCGCCCAGGCGACAGCCTCGAGCACGCTGAGCCCCAGCGCGGCGGCGCGGCTGCGCTCGGAGCACGCCGCCGCCATCACCCGCGCAGCGCGCAGTGCGCAGGCGGCCGCCGACCTGCAGGAGCGAATGGAGGCATCCGCGGCGCGCGCCGCCGACGCCATGCGCTGCTGGACGGGAGTGCGCGACGGGCTGCAGCGGGAGGCCGGCCGCCTGGCGGCCGCGCTGGAGAGGAAGACTGCGGAGGCCCAGGACCTGCTGCAGGAGCGGGAGATCCTGCGGGCCAAGGTCGCACTGCTGGGTGGCGCCACCCAGAAGAGGTCGGCCTGGGAGCCGGAGGACGCGGAGGTGGCGCGCTGGAGGCAGCGCGCAGAGTCGCTGGAGCACAGCCTTCGCGAGCGGGAGGGCGTGTGCCACAAGTACAAGCTGGCCATCCGCGCGCTCAAGGCCAAGCTGACGGAAGCGGAGGAGCGGCAGGCGGGGCTGAAGCGTGGCGCGCAGGAGCGCGAGCTGGCGCTGCACGGCCAGATCGTCAGGCTGCAGCGCCAGGCGGAAGGTGTGTGTGTGTGGAGGGGTGGGGGTAGGGGTGAGCGCCATGCACTGGGCCTGCGTCACCTCTTTGTGGAGTTGAGTGTGAGATTGTCATTGCTGTGATCTTAGGGAATCGCCATCCAGTAGAATTTCTGTGAGGAACCACCCAACCTCCACACCTCTGTGCCTCCCACGGATCCCAGTTGCACCTCACCCCACTGTCGCAGACAAGGAGATCGCTGCCAGGACAGCGGCCGCCCAGCTAGCGACCCCGCCGGCCTCGCCCCAGCGCCTGCCCGCGCAAGCTGCTGTGCCTGCACAGGCCGCCGCGCTGCAGCAGCAGGTCCCTGCGTCCCAGCAGGCAGACCTGGAGTGTCTGCGGGAGACGGCTGCGACCTGGGAGGAGCGGGCGCGCGAGGCAGAGCACCGCACGGAGGCCGCAGTGCGCGCCGCCGACGCCGCGGCCGCCGCGGCCGTCCGCCTGGCGGACCGCCGCACCTCTGCCGCAGAGGCCAAAGCCCGGGCTGCCATACTGGAGGCGCAGGTGAGGGTGCAGGGTTTGGTGGGCCGGCATGCCTGCCGGCTTCCTGCCTTTGACAGCCAGAGCTGGGTGACCTTCACTGTGCATGGGATATTCTGGCCTGGGAGCGCAGGTCTTGGTGAATGCCCGATTTCCTCCACCTGGGCCCAAATTCTCCTGGCCCTCTCCCTCGCAGTCGCTGCGAGCGCAGCTGGAAGTGGGGCTGGCCGCCGCCAGGGAACAAGACCCGGGCCAGGAGCTGGCGGGCGCTCTTAGATCTGCCGGCCTGGAGCTGGCAGGTGAAGACGCGGAGGCCCACAAGTCCCCCCTGCGCCCCACCCCTGCCGCCGCTGCCGACCCAGCGGCAGAGGCCACGGGTGCCGCAGCGCAGGGACCGGCCCCGGGCGACTGGGCCTCGGAGCTGGGCCGGCACGAGGAGACGCTGAAGGGCCTCGAGGCGCGGCTGGCCGGAGCGCCCCTGGACTCCACCAAGGTGTGTTTCTGTGCAGCCAGAAGGGGGGTTGCTCCTTTGGGAGGAGCGAGGGATGTTCACCCGCGCAGGCATGTCCGCCCAGGACCCTGATCCTCACACCCTCACACTCTCCACCAACAACTCCAGGTTTCCCCAGCCAGGCCGGGGCAGACCCCCGTGCGGGAGGGCGACGAGAGGGCCCGCCTGCGTAACCTTGGCGTGATGCTCGACCGACTGGCCGAAAAGCAAGTGAAGCACAGGACGGAGGCGCCCCGCCTGATTCAGGCCGCCTAATGTAGTGTGCACAGTCCCATCCCTCGCCCCGTGCATCTCCATTGCCCACATGATACCCACCCATCCCCATTGTGACCGTCAAGATGCACTGTGACTGACGACGACTTTTTGAAACGAAATCCATGCCCAGAAATCGAAGAGCTCTCTAGTCAGGAAGAGTCCAGGCACTCCTGCTGCGCGTGCGGCGTCGGAGGTACAAAACAACAGCCACCTGGATCTGGAGCGGTTGGGGGAAGCCGCCGGTTACTCGCGTCCGGACTGCCGGCTGTTGCGAGCCAGATCCAATGAGCGCGTAGTCAGATCCATGAACTCGGTGCTTCCCAGATGCTCGCCTTCCTGGTCTGGATCGTGTCCCTATTCATCCCCACCTCCCTGATCAGGCTGGTCCGACCCCGTGAACCCTCCGGCGGGGAACCCGGTCCCGACATGGATGCCTTCGTCGACATGGCAGCGGCCGCGCTGAACAGCAAGAACGAGTTCATACATGATCTAACGGCCCGGTTGGAGCGTGCCGAGGCCGAGGTCGCCAGTCACAGCCAGGCGCAGGCCGGGCTCCAGCTGGAGGTGGCACGGCTTGGGGAGGTGCTGGTGGCCCGTGATCACAGCCTCGAGGAGCAGAGGCAGGCCACTGCCGAGGCCAGGCGCGACGCCCAGCTGGCGGAGCAGAATGAGGCCAGCCTGAAGCAGTGCCTGTCCGTGCTGCAGGCGGAGAAGGAGGAGGTGGGTTGTTGTGTGGGTTGGTGTGCAGGAGGCAGGCCGGGACGTATGCTAGGAGCTGGAGGTCTACCATGACTTGAAGAACGGCAAAGGATGGGGTTGGCGTCCCTTGGCAGGGTACCATTTATTGCTGTTTGGAGGCCCCTGCGCCCACCTCCCACCCCCTTGCTCAACTTCCCACCCCCTTCCCTTGGACATTTCCTCATCTCACGCAGCTAGCTGACATGCTTTCCCTGCGGGAGACCTCGTACTACACCCTGCTGACAACCATTGAGGAGTACATGTCCCTGGTTGACATCAACCCCACCCCCTCTGCTGAGACCAGTATGTCTTGGTATCCCATGGCCTACTTGGGCTGCCCTGACAGTGGCTCCCCATTGCCCTCTCAGCCTTACACCAAGGAAGCCGACCCCCATCACACCTCGCCCCCTTCTGTCCCAGGTCTGGCAGAGGCGTCGGCAGCCACAAACCCCACCCCCGAGAAGCTGGCCTTCTGGACTTCCAGGCTGGAAAGCGCAGCCCAACTGCGCCGCGACTGCGCCACCGATCCCTGCACCACCCCTCGCCGCCTGGCGGTCCCCTCCTCCGACGATTCCGGGGACGAGAAGTGGCACACCCCGGGCATCCATGCCAAGAGCCTGGGGCTGGACTTGGGGCCCGGTGTGGCCCCAAAGCAAGAGGAAGAGCGGGGCGTGGGGTCGCCGCAGACTCTCATCAGGGCCATCCACGATTGCATGGACAGCCTGAGCACACAGGAGTGGGCGGGGGAGGGGGCCCCACTGTCTTGAGGCTGGGGAGTGGCCCCTTCCAGGCGCTGTGCAGTGAGCAGCCCCCCTTCTCTGTTTGATCTTCGTTGCATGAACTTGTCCTGCAGCTTGTCGTGTCCTGATTTAGTACAGGGGTTTTCAGTCACATCAAATCGGAGGGGGGGGCAGGTCTTGCGGCAGCAACTTTGATTCCGGGCAGAAGGGCCCTGGGTCGACGGGAGAACGAGGCAATGGCCAGAAGTGCAAGGGTCGTGTGCAGCTGTGCGGTCGTGTGCATACCGGAGGGGACCGCTGCCGGATCTCAGGGAAGCTGGGCGGGTGAAGGTGCGAAGCCGTTCTACATAGAATGAAGTTGGGAGAGACTTCCGCTCCCCTTCTTGCCGTGCGATTCATGTTCTGAAATGCGGGGTGGCGCATGTCTCCCTCCTCGCATGCAAAAGCGTCCAGCGCCTCGCAGCCTAGCCGCTCAGCCCAGTCAGCTGATGCTGCACCAGCCTGGCGTAGGCGCCGTGGTGCCGGCCCATGAGCTCGTCGTGCGTCCCGCTCTCCACGATCACGCCCTTGTACACCACGGCGATGCTGTTTGCGTGCCGGATGGTGCTCAACCTGGGGGAAGGGAGTGGTGGGTGAATGGGTGATGAGACTGGTGGGTGAATGGGTGATGTGACTGGTGGGTGAATGGGTGATGTGACTGGTGGGAGGTGGTGTTGATGTGGGGGGCTTGGGCTGCTGCAGCGCAGATGGGCCGGGAACAGCGATGCGGCGTGGATGGTCGCCTCGTCCAACCCCACACCCCTCCGATTTCCCACCGACCACCACCACCGAAACGACATGGCAACAAACCTGTGTGCGACCACAATGGTGGTGCGGTTGGCCATGAGGCGGTCCAGCGCCTCCTGCACCACCGCCTCGCTCTCGGCATCCAGGGCCGAGGTGGCCTCGTCCAGGAGCAGCACCTTGGGGTCTTTGATCACGGCGCGCGCGATGGCGATGCGCTGCTTCTGCCCGCCGCTGAGCTGGATGCCGCCCTCGCCAACCAGGGTGTGGTAGCCCTCTGGCAGGCGCGCCACGAACTTGTGTGCGTTGGAGGCGCGGGCGGCGGCCTCCACCTCCTCCATGCTGGCGTCGGGGCGGCCATACCGGATGTTGTCGGCCACTGACATGGTGAAGAGCACGGGCTCCTGGCTGACCAGGCCCACCACGGAGCGCAGCCACTTCAGGTTGAGCTCGCGCAGGTCGCGGCCGTCCAGGCGCACCGAGCCGGAGAGGGGGTCGTAGAAGCGCTCCACGAGACCCACGACCGTGGACTTGCCTGACCCGGACTCGCCCACCAGCGCCACGACGCGGCCGGCGGGGACGGAGAGGGAGAAGTCGCGGAAGACGAGGGCGTCGGGGCGGAGGGGGTAGGCGAAGCTGACGTCCACCAGCTCGATGGTGCCCGCACAGTCGGCGATGCGGTCGCCAGACGGGTCGGAGGCGTCGATCGCGGGGACACGGTCCACGATGGCGAAGACGCGCTCGGTGGCGGCGCGGCCCTTGGCCACGTCGGGGAAGAACATCTGGCTCTGGGCCACGCCAAAGGCAGCCAGGAAGATGGCGAAGAACACGCTGAGCACCTCCTCCAGGGTGGACTCGCCGCGCGACACCAGCAGGCCGGCGTACCAGAAGGCCAGGGAGTAGGCGCCGAAGAGCACAAACTGGGAGAAGCCGAAGCCGAGGCCGCCGGAGCGGCCGCGGCGCTTGGCCTGGTGTGTCGGCTCCACCAGCTGGCCCTCGTACAGGTCGGTCACGCCGCGCTCCATGGCAAAGGCGGCGATGGTGCGGATGTTGCCCACCGCCTCCTGCGCGGTCTGGTTGGAGTAGGCGAAGGCGCCGTCCTCGCGCGTCGCCGCGTCCTTGATGTACTTGGTCTGGATCCAGGCCGCCGCCACGATCAGCGGCACCACCGACGTCACCACCAGCGTCATCTTCCAGCCGTGGCTGAAGGCCAGCGCGTACCCGCCGATGAAGGTCACCAGGTTCTGTCGACGGAGGGGGGGGGGCCGGTGAGCACGTGGGCTTGGATGCTTGGAGGAGGGAAGAGGGGGCGGCACCGACGAAGCAAATGCACTCCTGGGTCGGTGGCTCCAGCGAGTCCTGGCCGCCACGTCACCTGCATGCATCTCCAGGCCATGCCCGGCCATGGCCCCCACCCTCCACCAACCAACCAGCCAGCGACCCACCTGGGTGAGGAGTCCCATGGTGTCGCCGAACTGGCCCTTGACCGCCAGGGCGTCGGTGGACAGCTTGCTGGTCAGCACGCCGCTGTTGTTGGACTCCTGGTCGAACCAGCCCACCTCCTGGCGCAGCAGCGCGGTCATCATGAGCACGCGCACGCGCTTCCCCAGGCGCTGACCCATGAGCCCAAAAGCATAGGACTGGATGATGGAGAAGAGCATGGCGCCCAAGCCGATGCCCAGGAAGACCAGGCACCACTTCCGGGTCCCGGCCTTGAGCTCCTCCGGGTCTGGGAGGGGGGGGGGG